TAAAAAGCAAAACAGGCTCTCTCTTAATTAGGATTTAAGGCATTTTCCAAGGAGCGGTGCATATTATCAGCAGTACTTTTTTGCAGGTGGGGGGAAGCACATAGGTTCTCACCCCAAAATTTAACATTTGAATATTATCTTCATATACCACCACCAAAACTATAGATTTAATCCAGAGATCAAATTTCCAAAAGCCATCCTATGTGTTAATGCAGACCAATGCTAGCAGCTAAATGGGTTGCTAAGGTGAGCAGGAAAATACAAGTTCCAGCCAAGTCACCTCTATGCAGAGTCATGAGGGTACTCTCAAACTGGGGCGAAATCCCATTTTTCCATGGTTTGAAACTGAAAAATTAGAAAGCAGAACCGAATAGTCCATTATTAATTATTTTGTCTTTCAGTAAGTTGAATTAATGCTTTAAATCAATGTTTTAAAATACTGTTTCACAGTCAATTCATACTTCTGCAAATCTCTTATAATTTAACAATAGTAAGGCTAGAGATTAAAGTGCTGCTCCTGGCTCAATGCAGATATGTTATCACATGTTTTGTGCTAACCATGGCTTGCACTTACAAATGTACAATAGGAAATCCACTATTTTTACTTTCTTGTTAGAATTTATAGGATTAAGATTCATAACCATAGTTTAAAGCTGTCAGTCTGCTTTCATTTTCCATCTGCTTAGCATTCATAAATTCATTCCAATCTTCAATGTCTAACAGCTTCTTGAGATGGAGCAACAACTGTAACTGTGCTAGAACTGTGGTTTGTTAAGTTAACCAGCTTAAAGCCATGGTCTGAACGATATCCTTACTTGGTGGCCCCTTGCAGCTGGTATGTGACCCAACACAAGTTTTTACAAACCATGTCTTTATGAAAATTATGACTCTGATGCTGTACTGAATGAGCAATACTTTTAGGACTTATGTAAGAAAAGTGCTTTCAAATTCTTAAAAAATGTAATCAGGGAGAGTGCAAACCATATCCCTCCCGCAATATGGTGGCAAGATTTTGATATAACAGAAGATTCATTCCTCTTACTTCTCATAGATTTCACATTTCTCTTTACTGCATTCAGTGGAAAACCAGTGAAATTTGAAAATGTAGTTCAGCAACATCAGGTGGGTCATAGGCTCCTTACCCCTGCCCCAAACATATTACTAACGTAAGATCAAACTATTATTTGAAGAGAATGTAGATATTTGTAATTAGAAACATGTAGGCTTCAGTTTGGCTAGAAATGATTCCTCAAAGTAGAGCTGGAAGAATACTTCAAATAAGAAAAATGTTGGTCTCTCAGAGCGAGAGGCTGGGAGGAGAAAGCAAAGATCCTAGACAAGAGCTGGGAGGAGCTTCTGTGAGTGGTAAGAGCTAAGAATTACTTTGAAGAGAGGACTCTGTATTTTATTTGTGCTATTTGTATCTTTTGTAGCTGCTATTTTATTGTATTATGGAAAATATTTAATAAAAATCATGTTTTAGAAAAAAGGAAGAATACTTCAGATTCTAGGTGCCAGCAGCATATTTTACAATACATCATCACTTCAGATTTTCCCATCATTATCACAGCATCATCTAAAAATACATGACTTGGTATGCTTTATGAGAGAACTAAATACACTTTCATAAAACACTCTGAACAGCACTGTTAAAAACCTGCTTACTTTTATAATCTTACCAGAAATAATATTGGCAAGATACTACTAACATCTGCAAGGCATCCAAGAAACAGTACGGTCGCAGAGAGAATTTAGATTTATTTTTTTGGCCAGTATGACTAGACCAAGTCACACATCCAAGGAGGCTTGTATTCTGATGAGTACAATTCCAAACTTTTGGTTAAAATATATACATTGGTCACCAGCTAATCTGAATATTTGTTAAATTTGTAAACCACTTTCCCATCAATGGTGCTCTCTAACCCTGGTTCACCTTCTAAGCTTTGGTTTCATTTTTTAAAAGCATGCAAGTCTAGATATATGGGAACAAATCTACCTTCTTACAATTCCTTAAGCATTTTAATTTAAATTCTTAACACAGCCATTCATACTAATGTGCTGACAACATATATTTGTTCTTACATTTGTTCTACACCTCAGGTCTTTTTTGTTTTGAAACACCTAAATATGTTTTGCTTCTCTCAGGTGGCAGTCATTAATTATAATTATTAGTAGAGTATTATCAGTAAAGATGAAAGCTTTGGAACCCACAAGGCTTTTTTTTTCGTGCAGTCATCACAAAAGATTAAACAGCTTCCTCAACTGGATAACCTTGTCTATGGAGGCTAAACACTACATATAGTCCTATCCCTCTTGGCACACTTTAGGAATGAGGAGTGGATCCTCTACTATACGAGCTCGCTAAAGTAGTCATTCAGCAAGTTCCTCTTTTCAGCTAAAACATCTGCCAACCACACCTCTAAATTGAAAACTGCATCCCTCAAAAGGCAGCTCTTAAACTAGCACTTGAAATCCAGTTTCAAATCCCAATAAATTGCAGTTTTCCCACAGAAGGGGCAAGGTACATGACCCTGCCCTTATTTGGATGAAGGGCCTAAACCATAGTTCTGTGCTATGGAAACAGACCTTGATGAGCCTCAGAGTTGTATCTCACCCAGTTCAGAAGAATTTGCTTTCATTTTCAACTGTTGTGCATTGTTATATCCATACAAAGAACTGAAGCTAGTTTTAACTGTGTTCTATCCAAATCCAAACAAGCCAGGGTTGTAAACCCTCAATTTGAAGTTAAAATGAATCCCCGTGTATCCCAGTGCATACTGACAAATCTTGGTTAGTTTATGACAGGAAGCAAATGCTTTTGATCTCTTCCTTGTGGCTGCAATGGAGAAGAGAACAGATGGGAGTGTGCTTAAGTCCAAAGCTGGCAAAGGCTCATTCCTGGAGTGTGAAACTCTAGTTTATCATTGCATCGAAATGATGCTATCTGTCTAGTTCTCTCTCACAAGCAACTTTTTCAACTGTTGGATAACTGTCCCAAGTTCTTCTAGATTACAATGAAGGTCTCTGTCTCTCATAAGGATGGGGGAAAGCCTAAAAATAATGTGCTAAGTACAAAACCATGTCAATTAAAAAAAAACAACTCAATGTGGTTTTGACAGGTTTGTCTTATATAGAAGGTTGGAGAAAAGAACTTGCCACACTTTAACACCAATCAGATTGTTTCCTGAAAGTGAAAGGCCACACACAACCCAAGGTACCGATGGCTTAAGTAGCCTAGATGTTCATCTAGAACAGTGGTTCCCAAATTTTTGGGGACACCACCCTCTTGGTTCTTAACCTCATTCACAGTGCCCTCTACCCTACAAAAAAATTGTTCAGAATAGCACTTTTCACAACCCACTAAGAAGAAGAATTAACACAATAAAATCCAAGACACTAACAATTAAAACATTTATTCAAAATTTGGGTTGCTGTTGTTGCACTAGAATAACCCCTCTGGACAACAATAATACAGTAGCATTGGAGAAGCATCACAGAACAAAGCTATCACTAATGCACTATTACCAGGATGCCGGTGGTGCTGTGGGTTAAACCACAGAGCCTAGGGCTTGCCGATCAGAAGGTCCCAGCTCCTGTCAACCTAGCAGTTCGAAAGCACATCAAAGTGCAAGTAGATAAATAGGTACCGCTCAGGTGGGAAGGTACATGGCGTTTGCATGAGCTGCTCTGGTTTCACCAGAAGCGACTTAGTCATGCCGGCCACATGACCCGGAAGCTGTATGCCAGCTCCCTCGGCCAATAAAGCGAGGTCTGCGACTGGACCTAATGGTCAGGGGTCCCTTTACCTTTACCTTAATGCACTATTGTTGTGTCAACAGCATGCTGCAGAATACATATAAAATAAGACTGCCAGTCTGGAGGATCCCCCCTCCAGTCTAACATACTGTCCCTTTCCAACCAAGTGCTTTCAGGGAGGCCCAGCAAAGCTGCTTTCCCTACCATTTACTGAAACAGTAGAACTCCAGGCAGTCTCTACAGATGCCAGAGTTGGAACAGAAAAGAGTCGATGCAACATAAGAATGGTGCAAAAAGAAAAATGAATGAATGAAGGGGCGGGGCGGGGGAGCCAAACCGCTTTAGATTTGACGTCGAAGCCCCCCACCCTTATCTCTTTAGTTCCAGTCTCACCCGGCGGATGGGCTGGAGGGTGTGGATGCTGCAGCGCCCAACCCACCCCGAGCCCTGGAGCAACAGCTAGATATAAGGGATGCGAGCTACAACATGCCGCGTGTCTCTTACACACCCACACCCCGCGCACCCACTTCAGCTGCCATGTCGGGAGCCACCGAGGGCAAAAAGGAGAAGGAAGCGCTTCCTGGCCCAGCCACAGAAAGGGCAGCGATGGGCGGAGCAGCCTCAGGAGGCGCACCTGGGCGCACCCACGGGCGCCTTGCACGGGCCTGCAGCCGCCGCCCCGGCCCGCCCTCCACAAGCCTCTAGCCGAGCGCCAGCTCTCGGGGGCTGCTCCGCGTGGAGCCGCGGGGCCTGCCGCCGCCGAGCCTGCCGCAGCGCTCCGTTCCCGCCTCGCACGCCCGGCAACGAAGCCAGGCGCCGGAGGGAGCGGGCGGGAGGTTGGCGCTGCCACGGCGAGGCCGGACCGGGCGCCTGGCGGTTCCTCGGGAGGCGACACTCACCTCAGCTGCCGCGAGGGAAACCGACTCGCGGGCTCGGGACTCGCTTCCAATTCGAAAGACGTCAGCGGCTTGGGCAGCCACCTTATAAGCGGCGCAGCCTACCCCGTTACTGCCCCGCAGCCCTGCCGAAACTGACAGGCCCGGCGCCCAATCGCTCTCGCCGAGGCGCTCTGAAAGACAGCTCCGAGCCCGCCGCCGCCGGGCCAATCCGCGCGCGGTTCCTCCTCTCCCTTCCCGGAGCGGCGTCCCGTCCTACCAACGGGGCGAGCCGCGAGCCCCGAAGTGGCCGCCTCCAGGGTGTGGCCAAAGGGCTGAGTGACAGGGGGAGGTGTCCAACCCGCGGCGCGTGTGGGCGGCTGGCGGTGTGGGCGCGGCGTGTGCGGCAGGCTGAGCTGCACCGCAGCGCATACACTACAATGGCTGCTGGAAAGAGGGGAAAGCAAACAATTTCCAGGCCCGCCGCGTCCAGCCCGAAATATGGGGAAAAAATTACAGAAAAATCGGAGAACCCTGTAAAAGGCGGGAAGAGGGCGCTGAGGGGATGCTGAGGCTCCCGCGGTGAGTCTGCTGCGGGTTTGGGGGTCAGGAGCCGGGGTTCAGCAGGGAAATATTAGGGTTATTTAAATTCTGAAGGGGGAGGAGGAGGAGAAGGGGGGAGAGCGGAGCGGCAGCGATGAGGGAAAGTTTGTGCGGCTCCATCTCCTTCCCCTGCACTCCTGGGCTGCGTCGCGCTTCTCGCGGGGTCCCCAGGAGCAGCCCCTCGAAAGAAAGCCTCGCTTTCCTCAGCTTTCGGACTTAGAGTTTCTCCTCTCCTCCGCCCCCCCCCCCCAACTCCTTCAGTGAGGTTCTCACTGAGAGGATCGCACCCCCCCTTCTTCTTCCCCCTCGTTTCTTGTTATACAAACGGGGAGGCGGCTTTGCAGAAACTTTTTTGAGAAGCCCCCAGCCCCCCCAGCCCGCTTTCCTCGCTCTGAGTTTCTCCCTTCTCTATCTCTCCCCCCCCCCCGAGCCCCGGAGCTTGTGCTTTGAATATAGTGACAGCAGCAGTAGCAGCAGCAGCAGCAGCGAGGAGGGAGCGGAAGACATTAAGAGCCCGCGGTGCCCAAAAAATGAGAGAAAATTAATATAAATTCAGCCGTAGCACCAAAGCGGCCACATTTTGCGCAGAAATGTCGCGGGCGGGTTGCACTCTCGGGACGGGGCGGCGGGGACCCCGCGGCCAAAGTTTTAGGGGGCTCCCGAGTCGCTTTGGGGCGTGCAGCGCCCTTCTCCTCCCGCTTTTTATTGGACAAAAGTTTTTTCCTCTCCTTTCCCCCCCACCCCATCAAGAGACGAGATTGCCTCCCGCCTGACTTGGACCGGCCGCGGAGGCTTTTCTTTCCCTTCTTGCGTGGGTACGAGAGAGGAGTTTGGGGGAGGCGTTTGGAGGGTGGGTTGTATTGGGGAGGTGGGGGGGGTTCTCTAACTGGAAGCAGGAGAGATCTGGAGAGAGAGCAGGGACAGCTTGTTGTCAGTATCATAAACAACCAAAATGGAGGGAGAACCGAGGCATATAACAAAATAAAAAATAGCCCCAAAAAATCCTAAAAAATGCCCCAAATCGTCTCCGTCCCCCGATTTCTCCCCTAAGAGATCAGGTTGAACCCCGCGTCCCCTCACGTCGGGGTTTCAGCTCTCAGAGAGCAAGGAGTTAAAACTGATGCCTATTTTTGTTGTTGATGACTGCTTTGGAAAGGCAAAAGCTCTTTTACAGCTCGTTCCCGACAATGCGAGAACGTGAAAATCCCCTTTCTCCCTTGAATGGTGGTGGGAGGTGGGAATGCACGAGCTGCACAACTTTGGAGCAACGAGGAGCGATTGCACAGGAGATAAATGCTGCATTTGCCAACTTTGTACCTTCGCTTTCGTGCCCTTTGTTTGTTGGGGGGGCACATGTGGGGGGAAAGGGGGGAGGTGGCGCGAAATGTAATACCTATGCATTGCTTTTCTCCCGACCCAATTATGATATGCAATGCAAAAGAACAAATATTTCCGATTCATGGAGTACCTTTTCGTTGCCTATGGATCCCGGTGTTTGTGTCCACTGTCTGTGAAGTGCTTTCTGTTAGAGTAGTATGGACTGGAAGCAACGTGCCGTAGAAAAAAATGAAAAATACACATAGTGAGACTACACTTTTGGAGGAGAACCGGGGCTTACTTTAGCATGCTTTTTCACCAATTTTGTATTCCGGGGAAGAATGTATTCTGCAATTTTCTCATGTTTATTAAAAAATGATGCCTCAACTTGCATCACATAGAACTAAACGGAAAGTGCTGCTGATGTTGGTTTCCACGTGGGATCAGGGACAGAGCATGGTATCTTAAAGAGACAGCTCCTCTTTTCTTCTATCTATGCTCACCTATGCAGAAGTTCTGGCTAAAGTTGGCTTGGATTTGTTAAAGTGTAAAGTCATAAATCAAACTCTGAAGGCAAGCCAGTGGCTACTTATCCTGGTGGATTGCATTAAATCCAAGGGGGCTGTTGAGGTGTAAACAGTGATTGGCTTACCCCTTTTGTAGGAGAAATTGGTGGATATTGTTTGGACCTAGCATTTATTATCTGTGATGCAACTCAAGATTTTGGTATGGTGGCTGAATTTTAATTCCATTGTTGTGTCTTGGATTTAGAATGGTGTGTGTAGAGATAGCCTAAATTATAATAATGTTCTGCTAGTTTTCAAGTCGCTGGAAGAACACAAGACATATAGTGGACTTTATGGTATAATTTTAAAGCCATTTTGCAGACATTGACAACTTGTTTGGATATCTTCTGTTTCATTCCATTGATTTAAAATACAAACCTGTTCATATTTCAAACCTGTAAGTAGTGTTCAAAGGATCTGAATTTCAAACCTGCAATGTTCAAGGGGTTAGAATACATGCAGTGTTATAAATTGTGCTATTACAGATTTGTGTAATGTCTCTAGATTTGGTTTTATTGAAATACATTCTAATTTTAGGTTAAATCTTACATAGTTGTGCTTTTATTATTTGTTAGACAGTAAATTTTTGTTAATTGAAACAGATTCCAAGAAAGCATCTATGATAGATGTTGCTGTATCTTTGACTTATAAATGTGTGACTTCCATGATAAGAAATGTTATCTATAAAGACTTGGCTTAAATGTTTAAAATGCTGCTAGGTAGTAGAATGGTATTTCGGAAATCTATTGTCTCAGGTCTTGTGTTTCTTATGCACAATTACATTTTCATTTCAAGTGATTTGCTCTTTCACTGTCTTGATTTAAATCTAAATTAAACTCTTGCTAGCACGTATTCTGCTCAAAGAGATGGACCAAATCTTGAGAGAAACTCCATCAGTTATACTTTCTTTTGTTCTTTATATACCAAATCAATTTTCTGCTCAATGTGTAACCTGTTTCTATTCACTTTTATATAAGTCTCACTGTGTTGAGGGGCTTGATTATCCAGTGTACATAAGATTTCATCATTTGTTATCATAGATGTCTTGTACCTTTATTGCATTATGTAGTGGACTATTGTCCTGGATAATCCTGTGGCTTCAGGTGAAAGCACCTTGTTTTCCAGTGACACAGTCCCCAAAATTAAACTGCGTCATTTATTCTTAGAGAATGGATTTATACAAATTGTATAGTAATAATAATGTGTCTGTGGGAGGGGGTTATTGGTTTGTTTTTATTATATTTTGTGTTCTCATTTTGTATTTTTATGTTGTGAATCACCTGTGATCTTTGGGTGAAGGGCAGTATACAGGTTTAATAAATAATAATAATAATCAGCTCATAAGGGGAACATTGATCTGTTAACATGGAGTTGTATACACATTTATTTTTTATTGAAAACAACTCTATTTTTGGCATAAACGTTATCATTTAAATCAAAATAGAAAATATCTGAAAGCAAACTTGGCAAATGGCTGATGCATGCCATATGGTTTAAGAATGTCACATGAATTACTAGTGTTTGTAGATCATTTTCATCTACCAGTTAAGATACTAGGTTCATAAGTGCACCTAGCATAATAAGCAGAAATTTAGCTTGTAGTCAGTTCTTATCCTAAATACATTTGATACAGCATGCATGTTTTATCACAGGCATTAACCATAACAATAAGTTTGTGGCATGAATTGTTAAGCTCAGAAGTCAGAACACATGAAGTCTGGTGGCTTTTCCTAATCTAAATTTTAAAGCTATTTTGTAGATATACAGAAGTACAAAACTTGCATTTGGATCTTCAGATGTATATACAGATCTGCTGTACAATTATTAAGTATCATGGTAAAAGCATTGTGGAAGAAATACATTTTTCTGAAAGCACAAATTACAATTTTGCTTTCTTCCTTTGTCATGAAAGTTCTCCATCATATGCAAATTTAATGCCTTTAAGTTTGAATACTCATTCCAGTAATACATTTAACAGTAAGGAGACTGAGAAAAGTAACTGTTAGTAGAAAAATAGCCTGAAACATTGAATTTATGGATGCTGATAAAGCTGTATTTATCTTTGAGAACTATTTTGTTAAAACTATGGAGCACTTGCATATAATTTTAGTTGATTGGTTAAAACAATGTTCTATGAAATTAGTTGAATTTCTTATAATTCATATAATGTAGATCCATTATTATATACTATAGATTCTGCAGACAGATTCCAAGGTGTCTTGAGTGAATCTTATTGGCCAAACTACTTTGTGACACTACTTGCCTTAAGCAAAACCTTTGAAGTCTAAAGTAGTTTTTGAGCTTTTCATTGTAAGTTTTAAATGTTGGTGTATATAAATATAATTGTAATTAATTGTCATCTTCTTATTAAGCATTTTTTTTTGTCAAAATGGTGACTCACCACCACAATTTTACTCTGTTAATACATATCTTTGAAGTTGCTCACTTCATTGCATTCAGCTGATTTATTCATGTTGAGAGTTTGCTATGGAGTTGGAGTACTCTTAGAAAAGCACCTTGTAGTGGTAAAATCCTCTGCCACTAATAGTGACAATTTTATGCACTTAATGATATACCATAAAAGCATACTGAAACATTACTTTGATTATAAGAAACTTACATTTTGGGGTATAGTCTTCAAACCCCTTTTGTGGTTCACTATACTGTAGTACTAAAAGGAAAATCTGAATATATGTTGATGGTATGCTTCTGAAAGCAAATATCTGCAGATACCATTCATTTGTTTTAGTAGAAAGATTTAATAGCTGTCCAAATGAGCTGTTGACCATCTTTAACCAATTTCTAACTATTTAGAAAGCCTCTCAGAACAATGTAAAATAATTCAAATATGTGAACAACGTAATATTTTGTACTGATCTGACATACAATATGTGTTTGAAATCTAACACATGATGGATGGTTGCTGCATTAAACAAGTAAAACATTTCAGTAATAGATAATATATTAGGAAGAAAACATATATATAATTGTAGTTCAGTTCTTGATTTGGAAATGTCATGGATTTGTGAATAGAATCAGTAGACTGAATATGTTGCTTCTTTATTGGAAATTTTAGTATTTTTCTTTGCTATTGCAAAGATTTTATTTGCTATTGCATAAGTAGCAATTAGAATATTCTGTGCACTGTCTTACCCAGCACTAAGTCAGCCTTTAAAATATTAATGTTTGTTTTTATACATAATTGTTTGATTGGCATCTTATATACTAGCTACCTATCCTTTGCATATATATTTTTCAGTATGTCTTAGGACTTGGCAAAAATAACTTTTGGAATCTCATACCTAAGAATTCAGTTTCCAAAAAGTGTTTATATCAGTTGAAAGTGCCATGTTCTTTGATCAGAACAATTGTTAGAATTCATATAATCTATGGATTGTGCTTTAATTTGCTTCAAAATTGTTATCAAAGTTAATGTGAGTGCTGGGATTTTTTATATGTAAGCTGAATTCAACAAGTAGGAAAGATGATGCAGTCATATTAACATTAGTTAGTTTATAAAAACAGGTTTTTTTACCTATCTCAGTATGTTTAAATATATATTCTCTGAACTTGCTGTATTAAAGAATGTACATAGTAGCAGAATGTTTCATATGTATGTATATCTCTTGCCAGATCTATATCCCATTAAATGTTAAAATGTGTGAGTATAGTAATAACTGGTATAATTTCCAAGAAGAAAATGAAGCAGGTTATTTGCAAGACATCATAATTTCTTATTCAGCTCTTTTTAAATTGAATGTGTTCTAAGACTAAGCTATAATATTCAAAATGGAATTCATACATCTTGCATTAAATAAATGAAGTATTAAGAACTTAACAAGAAAACAGAAAGAGAATTAAGAAAAATATACTTTTAAAGAAAAATTAGGAAATTCAGCATGGGGAGAAAGTGTCTGGCCATAAGCTGTTATAATCTTATTTGCACTTGTTGAGCCAAAAGTGTCGCTTTGTGGAGAATATCCCTAGAAATCAGATTAGAAAGTGTTTAATGGGAATTAGTTATCAGCTTTTTTAATGGACAAATACTACTTTTATAAAAGCTAAGATCTGATTCATATGTTGACAAGGTGAACTGGATTCATTAATTTTTAACATATCTTTAATCTTGAATACTGTAATAATGTCCCTCCCACAATAACATCAAACTCAAAATTACTATGGTTACATTGAATTTCTGCCATTTAAGCAGATTTTAAGCATGGATCTCTGATTTTAATTACAAAAGCAATTACTTATTTGTAGCTACTATGTTAATTTTGCAAAGTGCTGGTCAAGTAACTAATAAAGTACTGTGTTACAAAATGTATTTTTCCATTGACAAGTGCAATAGGGATAGTCCAAGCTCATTTAAATATGTTCTTGAATAGTTGTTTCTTTCTTCAGTGTGTTTCCTTAATGAGAGATGGCTGCAGTGTTCTGCAATTACATTTTGAGAAGTGAAAGAAACTTGTTTTGTTATGTTAGCATATGAGATATATATTATATGTTATAAAGTTATATGTATTGTATGATAGCATATAACGTACCCTGAATATACTATGCTACTGTTATCATAAGGCTCTTAAAGATATTTTAGTTACGTACTGGTGATCAAGATTTGTTCAACCAAGAGAACCTCATTCATATGTGTTTGTGTGTGTAGATAGATAGAAAATCATACAAAACATTTTTGTTCTAAAAGAGTAGGGATATTTTTATACTTAATATTAAATGTCAGTTGTTAACTTTACAACTGGTAAATCATGTTCTAAATATTATTTGGAGTGTAAATAATTGTTTAAAATATGCTTTGGGTATTAAATAGTTGTATATATTTTGATACTAAAAGTTTTCTTTAAAATGCTGACATTTTTGATTGAGGGTTACACAGCAAATCATTTAGTATTCTTAACTAGCACAAAACTATTATTTGCATGTTCAGAATAGATTAGTCATAGTAATAGTAACATTACTAAGTACAAACAATTTTAAAAACTTTTCTGTCAAGTCAAACAGATATTGTTAAAGCTGATTGTGCTTGTTGGAAGAGAGTGTAGCTGATGCAGGTTTAATCGCTTTCCTCTAGGGGACTTTTAAGAAACTATGAACCATGCATCTAAAGAGCAGATGCAGCATTGCATGCTTATTGAAAATGCCAGTTCAGTTGGATCGTGTATTTTTTCAGTGTCAACATTAGAAATATGTATAGACTGAAGTATAAGAACTTTCCCATAAACAGATAGAAAATGCATTTCAATCCATTGAGAGAGGATACTGTTGTTGTTTGAGCAAGCAAGCAAGTTTAATAGTAATTAGATACATATAGCTTGATAGTTGCCTTTTAATGTTATCATTAATAAAAACTGTGATTTTATAGCATGCTCTGATCCTGAGACTTGGAGTGGAGAAGAAATATTTTTAATTCTCAAACCTACAGAAGGCTAAATGATTTCCCACAGTTACTCAAGGAGTCTGTGGCTGGGCTGATTGCTACTAAAGTCCAGATCCATTACCAAGTAAAGATTAGTTTGAAACAAGAAAATAAATTACTTTAATAAAAAGGTCAACTGTATCCAATATGCTTACTGATTTGTTTCAGTAACCTAATTTTGTTTAAACACCTAACCACCCTAGCTCCTGATAACCGTCATTGCTTTCTTGATTGAGACCATCTGCCAAATAGCAACGCTTGCCAGAGAACTACCAAGCAGAGGTGGCAGTGGTGAATATTGGACCCATGGAGATATAAGCGGCACTTCCATAAAACAGTGAGTTGCAGTGGTGGGGTACTGTAGCAGAGGCAACCCCAAAGGGTATGACACCAAAGCAAGGGTTCTGCTTTAGGAAGGTGCAAGGGCACTATTCTTTCGGTTTTAGTGGCTGCATGTGCCCATTTGAAGGATTCCTGAGTTGGAATACAAATCTTCTGAGTGTTGGAATAGGACCTACACCTATGACCAGGTGAAAGCTTGGTACCTTCAGCTAGGGTGGAGGATTCAACTGGGATCTGTTTACAGTATGAGTGCTGGGTGGCTTGAGAGTATGTGTGGCAGTTGTGGAAATAGAATGGGTTTGATGCATTGACTGCTAGGTGGTGGTAGTAAGTGATTGATGAAAAGTTGGCTTGTATAGATATTCTTGGGGATTATGGGCTGGTAGTGGTTGGATGAGATTGTGTTGAGTGTTTTTATGTTGGTACGGAAATCCTGTATGTGTTTAACTGGATATTGAGAATTAATATTGTAAGGGTGGATGGAGCAGAGTCATGATAGTTTTCTGGGATGTGCCTAGGGAGGTCAGTAGGCTTTCCTTGATTCCATTGGTTACAGGCAGAAGAAGTTATGACACTGGAGAGCAGACATACCATTTGCAGAAAAAGGGACACAGCCATGTACAGACTGTGTCCCTTTCTGATCTTTCCGTTATCTCTTGTCTGCTAGTAGCTTGGTTGTTGGGCCTTCTGCTCAGACAATGAAGCTGTTTAACACCAGTTCAGTTCGCAATAACACCACACTCACGAGGGAGCCATTCTGGGATGCATTTCTGAGACATATGTGGGCTAGATATCAAGAAAGTGTGTTCACCTATGTACTTTCTACAGCACCAGCTGAATTGGATAAACACACATGTGCGAGTTGGAGTTGTTATAGTCCATATAATTCCTTTATCTGGCTAATAAACCTCCCTGATCTGGAATGGGCTTTGAGAGCTTACTATTTGGCCATCAAGACAGACGGGGAGTGTTGCTTGTGTACCCTTAACCCTTCTGGACTGAGTTTGCTAAGGTGGTGTTGAAGAACTGTTATTCTGAGGACTAAACATCCATGCTGACTTTATAACCTCCATGACTGTTTGTCATTGGCAAACAGAGATGATCACACCCTCAATCTTGTGTTTGATTCAGGGCAGGTGGGAGTGAGAGTCTGGAACTGGAGAAAGGTGTCCTGATAACCCCATTGTTATGGTCAGACCATTTCTTGGTAAGCTTTGATCTTATATTACCAGTTTCCCCTTCAACGATGGGACCCCCATTAAGATCCATGGTGAAACTAGAGGTACCTCAGCCCAATGAGTCCCCAAATGCATGGTTTTTATCCACCATGAACTGTGCATTCAGTATTGTAAAGCCAATTTTGTAGAACTCCCTTCTAGTTGAGATTGAACAGGTGCCCTATTGTTTTTCACAAGTATATTGATTGGATGGTCTATAAATATTTGTTACAATCCAGTGAATTCAGTCCCAAATTCCATTGGAATTGGTTTATTTTGGTGCACAATAACTCTGTTTTGCAATATGATCACTTACATTTTATAGGTCATAAAAACCAACTAAATCATTGTGCAGGTGAAATGGTTTCCACAAGTGCAACAGTACTTCTCACTCTCCTCCCCCTACAACACCCTCTAATCTGCTCCAGAGGGCTGAGGGAACCCCACAGAGCAGATTTGGGAGGTATTTGGATGAAAGGGAAAGGAACTGTCATTGCACTAACAGAAGTTGTTTCATTTTTGCAGTGATTTAGTTGGGTTGAAGCCATGAATTGGAATCCAGTTGGTGCCCCTCCCTTTCACTTGATGATGAAAGAGTCCCTGTTTTGCCTGATGAAAGATTGTCTACAATAGTACACGGTCTTAGGGCAAATAATTTTGATGTGTTCATTATGATCAAAGAAATGTGTATAATTTTGACTGGTATTGTGTAATAAATGAATAAAGTGAGTTTTCCAAGGCTTGAAGTCCTGCAAAGTCATGAAGCTTGTTTAAGTTAACTTAGGCAAGTTTTTCCTCTCAACCTGTGTCAAATGTTTCTGTGAGGATAAATGAATTTGGGGCCCAGCATCCTGAAATTAAGTGACAAATCTGAATTGGGTTGACATTCCCACTTATCAAGAAGCTCATTACAGAGCATTTTTATTGTTAGATTATTCAGCTATGCCACACTATTCCAAGTGCTTTCTAACTTGTATGCTTTTTAATCAAGGACAGTGATAACATCATGTATGCATACAAAAACCTGAAATCCTAGATGTCTTTCAGCAGGAATGGGACTTGCGTTTAAGAAAATAGTTCAACATTCACAACCAGATTCACTAAATAAACTGAAACCTGCTACTTCAACAGAAACAAATGTTTTTATCCAAGTTTTATCAAGCACATGCCTCAGTAAGAATTTAAAGGAATCTGGTATTATAGCCCTTCTAAAAGTATACATGTGTCTATGCATTTGTAGAAATACACTGTAATTTCGTACCATTCTAAGTGTTAGATAAGAGAGTGATCAAATATCCATGCAACCTTTTCCATGTGGTTACCTGCTCAGATGTTTCCATCTTCAATTACTAGATTTTAATGCCAGAACTAATGTTAGTTGAATAGTGAGCCTATTCACAGAAAAGGTACACATGCTAATTCTGACTAGTGTGAGATATTATTTTTAATGTTTTTATTTTATTAGTATACAGCCCTTCATCTGAAGAACACATGGTAGTTCATAACATAAAAATACAAAATGACAACAATACATAATTTTTAAAACCCAATAATTCTGCCTTCCACAAACACATAATCACCCAAAGGACTGGTTATAGAGAAACATTTTTGCCCGGTGTCCAAAGAAATGTATTGAACGTGCCAGATTCTCTGGGAAGAGCATTCCACAAATGGGGAGCCATCACAGAAAAGGCCTGTTCTCGTGTCGCCACTCTCCAGACCTTGCGTGGAGGAGGCTCATGAAGAAGGGCATCAGAGGATGATCTCAGGGTCCATGCCAGTTCATATGGGGAGAGGGTGGTCTTTGAAGTATTGCAGTCCTGATCCATTTAAGGCTTTACAGTGGTACCTCTGGATGCAAATGGGATCCGTTCCGGAGCCCTGTTCACATCCAGAAGCGGACACAACCCGCGGGCCGCGATTTGCCACTTCTGTGCATGCGCGTGATATCATTTTGACCGTCTGCACGAGCGGCAAAACCCAGAAGTAACACGCTCTGTTACGTCCGAATTGCCGCAGCGCACAACCTGAAAATACTTAGCCCGAAGCTACTTCAGCCCGAGGTAAGACTGTATAGGTAAAAACAAGCACTTTGAAATGGGCTGGGAAACTAACTGGCAGCCAGTGCAGTTGGGCCAGGATTGTTGTAATATGCTCAAACCTTCTTACCCTGGTGAACAACCTAGCCACCAAATTCTGCCCCAGCTGAAATTTCCAATTGACCTTCAAAGGCAGCCCATTGTAATCTAACCTAGAGTTTACCAGAGCATAGACAACAGAAGTTTGGCTATTCCTGTCCAAATAGAGGTGCACTGGGCCACTAGCTGAAACTGATGGAAGGCACTCCATGCCACTAAGACCACCTGAGCCTCAAGTGACAGCAGTGGGTCCACTGCTTCCATCTGGTCTAGGGAACCACCCACTAACATTGCCTTGGTCTTATCTAGATTGAGCTTCAGTGAGTTGGCTCTCACCCAGTCCCTTATCAAGGCAGTCCAGCACATCCACAGTCGCACCTACAGATGTAAAGGAGAAGTAAAGCTGTGTGTCATCAGCAAATTGCTGACAATGTACTCCAAACTTCTGGATAATCCCACTCAGTGGTTTTCAGTAGCTTAAGGGTGGGGATTGAATCCTGAGGAACTCCACACTGAAAGTTTCATGGGGCCGAAGAGCACTCCATAAGCATCATCCAGAGTGCAAATGGTTGCACTGACTGTTCCAAGCCCCTTGTCCACATTCTCGAGCCTTACAGATGAACTCTCCTGAGTTACAAACTTGGTTATAAAACTCACAGAATATTTCATAGCTCTGTCTCTGAATTTGCCAAGCACTGTGAATTTGCCAAGTGCTACTGAGACTATATGGTTCAAAAAAGATAGTTGATTGGAGTTTTGCAGAGCAGCTGAAGTCCAGCTTAAGTTTCACCATTTGATCACCATCCTGTCTTACACATACAAAATATACAGGAATTTAATTTGTGCTTCATAGTTTGTTGATGGACCAATGCAAGTCAGATAATGTTTGCCACTAACCTCTCAATAATGGAATAAACTAGCTCACAGAATGTTCAAATGGTTCTATTAGTTTGCAATCTGATAATATTTAAACATTTTGTGGGCTAGTATCTGACTGGGGTTGGTACTTGATTACAAAGTCTGTGATTAACATAACCTGCAAAATAGTGTCTGCCAACTAAGCATATGCTCAGGCTTCTAAAACAGCTGCCAAGACAGTTGCCTATTTTGTTGCTTTGATAAGCTTGTACCATTTAAGCAAAATGCACACTTGGAACTTGCTGGTATGAATAGCAAGTGCTAAAAGCACGTCCATGCCCTGTCTTTTACAGATGTGAGTGCTGCAAGGGCATGAGGCTGCACCTTCTCTACAGTGATGCCCACGTAGTGGAACACTTTGCCAGCTAAGGTATACCTGTCCTCATCTCTGTTAGATTTCTCTTGGTGGACTAAATTTTTATTGAGAGTGTTTACTGATGTCTGAAAACTGCTATGTATCCTTGGTTTTGTATGGAATCTTGCCTAGTTCTGTTTATTTTAAAATCTCTCTTTTTTTTTAGATGGCTTTATTTTTATTTATGACTGTGTACCACTTTGCTGTTTTTTTAGAGGCTACAACAAATGTGGGCATGTTAACAAAAGCCAAGTTTTTTCTTATTGCTTACAGTTCACCACTTACCTTGAAAAGTAACAACAATGGGATGGGGGTGGGGAGTGGTGAAATGTAGATTTACTCTTTGACTAGTGGTGTTTATAAATCTCTAGGTGGGTGATGGAAAGATAGTGTGATAGTAGTTTGGGGTATCAAAGGACCTTGCAGACCAGATACCTTGTTTGGCATGTAGGCACCATAACATCTTACAGAAGTATCTACTGTAGTTGGCTCAATAAACAAATTACAGTCAACTTATTTATGGCAATACTTTGTGCATTACTTCCCATAATTGCTTCATTGAGGGTGGTGGTGTCAACATCTGATGCTTGCCATGCTTTGTGCCTGGATAGCTGCTGGTTGTCATCCTCCCTAGTGTTGTTCTCTAATATTTATTTCTTATTTAAAGCATCTTTAAAACCAGATATTCAGCCAAAAGAGCTTACAGATCAATAAAAAAATTCAGGCTTACAGTCTTAAAAATGTAGCCCAGAAGGGGGATGAGAAAGAGGGTAAAAAAGCAAACCGAAGGACGCCTTCATCTTAAGAGTTCCCCCTCCCCACAAAAAAACTTAAATTAAAACCCAACCTGGCTGGGATGGAAGCAGTTCCAGAAAAGGAGGAGCGGAAATGATCTGAGGTCTCAGGATTGCTTATGGAATGGTAAGTGGTGTTGCTTCCCATGTGTATTTGTAAGTTTTGAGAAATAGGGGCTATAAGAATATGTCATACTTAAAATAGACCTGTTGAAATCAATGGATTTAAGTTCATCATAACTAAAGTCAGTTGTTTTCGATAGCTCTACTCCGACTGTGACTTAGTCTGATAATACCAATAGTGATTAAATAGAAGAATGTAAGAGACCTGAGGCATATCAGATCCAACATCCTGTTCTTGTAGTGATCAATGAGATGCCAAGGGAAGCCTGCAAGCATGACCTGAGTGCAGTAGGACTCACCACTTAAGCTCCCTACCAACAGGTATTCAGGGCATGTTTCCTCTGCCTCTGGAGGCAGTAAATAGCCATCAGGGCTAGTAGCTGTTGATACTCCATGAATTTGCTTCATATTTAAAAGACATTACTGCATCTTGTGCACTGTGTGAAGAAGTGCATGCATTGTTTCATCTGTCCTGAATCTTCTAACATTCACCTTCATTGGATGGCCTTAGATACTATGAAAGAGAGGGTCTTTCTTCCTGCCCGCTTTCTCCACATCATACATAAATCTGTATACTTCGATTATGTCTCCATTTACTCACCTTTATACCTTTTGTTAGTAGTTCTAGATCCTTGATCATTTTGGTTGCTCCTATCTGTAACCTTTCCAACTCTACAATATCTTTTTTGAGGTGAACTGTATATAGTATTCCAAGTGTAGTTGTACCATAGACTGTGATATTAGCAGTCCCTTTCCTAATTATCTCCAAGGTGGAATTCACCCTTTTTCATAACTACTGAACACTGGTTTGGCAACTTCATTCCAAAGTCTCATTCCTGATCAGTTGCCACCAATTCAGATGTCATTAGCATATATAAGTTAGGAATATATGTTAGGAATTCACCTTACACTTAAACTGAATTGCACTTGCCATTTTAATTCTCATTCTTCCAGATTGGAGAGAACATTTTGGAGCTCCTAGCAGTTTCTTGCTTTAATTAAACAATTAAAGGATGCCTCTGCTGAGACACTAGCTGCATTCCACCCAATGTTTTTAAAAGTAGGAACTGTTAGTTAAGTTCGGTCCTAAGTTTGGATGTTATTGGCATGAATTTCTAAACTTTTAAGAAACAAGTCTAGACTTCTTTGCCACTTCCCTAGCAATAGTATAACTTGTGAGGATTATCTAATTAAAATTACAAGTTGAATGAAATACCATTTTGACAATTCTCCTGGCACTGTTATTGAGTCTTCTGAAAGAAAAGCACTGCAGTTTTCTGTATTATCTGTGGTACTCCTTTTTAGATTATTAGCACACATGTACATTTTAGGAGTTCTTAAAATCTAATTCCCACAAGCTTCTTTCAATAAACTTATACCACATTATTTTAATGTGGTATTGTGCTTGTGTGAAAAATGAGAGCCCGGGGTATATAGGATAGCAGCTGCCATAATTTTAGTTGATTTTCAGCCTCTGGATTAGTTCATTAGGTTACTTTGACCTGCAGATCTAGTCTGCTCACAGATCAAGGGAAAATGTGGATGCATAAATACTGAGCTGTATGTAAGCACAATATGAGACTGTAGGAAAGTGTAGTACTTACGTAGTATGGAATTAAGGTAAAGGACCCCTGGATGGTTAAGTCCAGTCAAAAGCAACTATGGGGTATGGCGCTCATCAGGTGTCATATCTATTTCCACGCTTGAGTGAATGTATAAGCACCATGGCTCTTTCCTGAAACTGAAGGCTATACCATCCTAGCATAACTGATTCTGAACTATGGATGCAAATATTAAGTAAGCATCAGTATCTTTTTAAAATGTATTTGAACTTGCATTCTGCAGGGCATGTATAAAACATCAGGGGTAAAATAAAATCACATACCTTTCTACTAATTGCAAATTATTTGACAGTTGTGACGACACATCCATAGAAAATATGGGCTTGATACCATATTCACTTTTATGTGCACCAGTTTTTAAAATAGAGCTGTACAGTTCCCCTGCAAATTAAACGCATTGTGGGTTTTTTGAGAGGAAGCCTATTGAATGGAACAGCTTACCTGCCAAAACTCATCCATCAAAAGGAATTTCACACTAAACCACTATATTTGTCATTTGGTTGGCCAACTAAAAGCACAGCTGGAGATCGCATTATATTGTCCAGTTACTTTATGCTGAAGCTCTGTGGGGACAGTAAGCAGTCAGAAAGATTATTTGGGATCATGAAGATGTAATAGTATCTAATGGTATAAAACTTTTAAGTGTGGTGCTGGTTCAGTCATTTGACTTTATATTCCATCTCATGTAAAAGGATCTTGGTTTTCTGTATAGGAATTGGTCTGAAGTATTGACCCAGGGTATGCCTGTTCTGAGTTAGTAATCACAGAGACTGGTGGCAGTGACAAGTGGAGATTTCTGCTCTGTGCTAAAACAAAGAGACAAGAGTTTGCATTCTAAATCAGAGGAAATTATTTCACACACAGTGGTAAAGCCGGGGAAATTAAGATAGCTATGCCATGAGGGTGAGTGCTCCCTATGACATTTGACACCTTTCCCCATTATTGATTTATAACTAGCCTCTGATGCTATTGACCACCATTCTCTTTTTTCACCCACCCACCTGAGTACTATTTATTTCTGTACTTCTTTTCTGTTATCACTTACCCTTCTGCTTTCCGTTGCGGTCATCCAGGGTTCTGTTTTCAGCAATTTGCCTTCTTTAGAGTCAGTTTTTCAATTCTTTAAGTGGGTTTCCCTCTTCTGATCCAACGGCCAGCTACATGTAGACCGGTGGTAGCGGTGTCCTCTGAGAGTCTTCATGAGGTTTGCATGTGCAGAGTAGGGCAAAGTGAGCATGTGAGCCCTGGAAGAAAGAAGCAGGGAACATGCAAATACCTGAGATGGCCCAAAGCATGGAGGAGTGTGACACTTTGCAAAGAATATGACTTTGCAAGTAGCAGATGCCCTGCTCTGAAGTCTGTATGAAGAGTTCTCCCATAGAAATTGAATGAACTGTACCACCTCTGCCCATGAACTCCACTCACATTATGACTCAGCATCCTGAGTACTTAAGTGCACTGTACCTACCTTGCCCCAAAAGTGTCACCTGTGGATATGTGCTTACTTGCTACACACACTCTTCATCAGGTCCCCTTCTATAAGGTCTCCTTGCTGGACCCTGACATGCAAATAACAATGCTGCTTCCTCTATGATTCTCATAACTGTCCCCCTTCTAGCCGCACTCTTTTAGCCATACAGCAACTTGGGGGGGAGCATCTGGGTGCACAAATTGTTATGTTCACTGCAGAAAGGGCAGGACTCCCACCCACCAGTGGGCAAGCATGTTGCCACTACCAGTTGCAGACCCCAAAGAACCCAGTGTCACAGTAGACCTGCCCAAATTCCTAGCCCCAAGGAAATTTGCCTGCTTCTTTAGTAACCAAACCTATCTAAAACTTAGACACTCCCCCTTTACTCCCAGCACCTTAAGAAAGGAGGTGGCATGAGCATAGCAAGAAGTCCAGAACTGGCACGACCAAATACTTATTTAGAATGAGGTATATATAGCATGCCCATTGTTGCAATGTACTAGTTGATGTTAGAATTCTTTTAAGCTATGGAATATTATCCCAGCATTACAGGCACTAATACGGGTACTCAGAATGTGTTTTTCTACAGAGATTGACGTTTAAAAGTGGTTAATATTTAGCCCATAGGGACACCGATCTGCACACAGATGTCCCACATGTACCAGACCTTTTCCTACAGTTCCTAAGCAGGTTTCTCACATGTTAACTTCCTATATTTCCTAACACTAGATTGTTAAGGTAATTTTTATCTGTGATCAGCTATGCTGAAACTTTATAGCTGACAAGCTAACTAAATAGGCTTTGAAGCACCTAACAATCATTCTTATCGATCAATCAGTTATATTTCTCAAACCAGTTTATTACTTTTGCTTATAAATCTTAATTTACAACATTGCATTCCTTTAAGTTCAATTACATTTTAAATACAGGCAGTGACCTGTGCAGGGGTTATGTTCCGAGGTACTGCATGCTTACGTGAAATTGTGTATAGTCAGAACGCCCATTTAAAAAGCCTGCAAACTCCCCATTCTACCCCTTTTTGTGACTTTTGGTCACTTTGAGTTTGGCGTGATGTGTGCATGCACAGTCACACACATATTGGACATTCCTAAAATGGTCACTGCCTGTATAGTCAGAACACATCACATTCAATGACAGGTGGCATTGCCAAAGTCTTTTCTGGATACCCACTCCCTTGGTATTTATTCTTTATTTTTTTTGCCAAGTATGGAAAGCTGAATGCACACAAGTTAAAAGTGTGTAAGCTGTGAGCTTTAGCGTACATGTTGTTGCATTTTTGTGGTCAATTACCAGGTCTCCATTAGGTACAAAAAAGATAAAGTGGCAGTGCTATTTGCAAAAGAAAGCAGGGGGCTTTTCAGTGGAAATTTAAAAATTAAAATAGAAGATGTCTGCTGAATCTTTATTGGCAGAGCATTCTAGAACTGTGTCAGTGCAATTTCTTATTGCTGTCAGGTGAGCTTTACCAACTTTGGGAGATGACTAACAATGCTCTTGCATTGTGATTGAGCTGAAATATAAGGTACCCTGGATCTCTCAAGTTGTCCAGGGCTTTGCAAATCAATGAACATGACGTAGTAGTAAATGGGCAGCTAGTGAAAATGTTTTAACGGTGGTGTCACGGTGTCGGCCATGCACCCCTATCTGTATGGGCTTCCAGATCAGGAGCTTCCAAAGCCCCATATAGAATGCATTACAGTAATCCAGCCTTTAGGTTGTTGTTGTTTAGTTGTTTAGTCGTGTACAACTCTTCGTGACCCCATGGACCAGAGCACTCCAGGCACTCCTGTCTTCCATTGCCTCCCGCAGTTTGGTCAAACTCATGTTCGTAGTTTTAGGTTACCAACACATATAACGGCAGTGGCTGCCGAGACCACATAACACCGGTCCTGAAATATCTAAATTGGCTCCCAGTCCGTTTCTGATCACAATTCAAAGTGTTGGTGCTGACTTTTAAAGCCCTGAATGGCCTCAGCCCACTATACCTGAAGGAGCATCTCCACCCCCATCGTTCAGCCCGGACACTAAGGTCCAGCACCGAGGGCCTTTCGGTGTTCCCTCACTGCGAAGTTATAGGGAACCAGGCAGAGGACCTTCTTGGTAGTAGCACTCGCCCTGTGGAACGCCCTCCCACTAGATGTCAAGGAAATAAACAACTATCTGACTTTTAGAAGACATCTGAAGGCAACCCTGTTTAGGGAAGTTTTTAATGTCTGATGTTTTATTGTATTTTTAATATTTTGTTGGAAGCTGCCCAGAGTAGCTGGGGAAACCCAGCCAGATGGGAGGGGTATAAGTAATAAATTATTATTATTAAGTTATCACTGTGCAAGAAAAGCTGTAGCTGGTGAACCAGACAGAACTGATAAAAGGCATTTTTGGGTTCTGATACCTGGAAAGTGTAAAGTTTCCTCAGCCCTCTGCGATGGAATTTTATTTTATTTTTAAAGGGCTAGACACGAGATGTGGATGTACTGCAGATCAAGAGTTCTGAGTTCCCACTTGCCTGTGAGCTGCTACATATCTAGGCAAGTGGTTATTTACATGTCTGGCTTGAAAGGTGGGTGAAGGTTTATTTTATTTTATTTTTTATGTTTTTGCTTTAACAAACTTTTATTACATACATATTCCGGTATTCCTCAGGATGATTCCTTTTATGCTTACAAAAATCTGGTCAGGTGTGTTTGACCGAAAAATGGGCACAATATTTCATTCTTTAAATGGACTACAGAACTGATTTAGGATTCCGGTCTCCTTCGTCCGAGCATGACGCGTCATATCATGATGCCTTTTAGGGTCTCATCCACACCTCCATTTGTCCTGCTGCTTTTCCCCAGAGAAACCCCCAGTTTACCACTGAATCAGACCAAATTGCAATTGGGTTTTCTGTGGATTGTTGTTTTTTCCAATTCAGCAGTCAAGAGTGTGTTTCCTAGGCGAAAGCTGGGGGGCAAAAACATAGCCATTCCGACCCAGGCCTAGAAAGCACGGGACCAGCAGAATACCACTCAGACCGGCCCCATTTTTTTAAGACACAGAGCAAGTGGACGAGCTCTTAGTTAGGTTGTACATTGACTTTTATTCACATTTATAATTATAGGTGCATTCCCACGTTTACAAGCAGGGATGGCTGATGCCTCCCAGAAGTGGGAATGCTATAAACCCTACCAGTCCTGTCAAACTACCCCTAACCACACCTTTACATGGATCTTTTTTAGTATTCTACCACAGCTCTGCGAATTGAAGGTACCTCTTATCAGCCATAATATCTAAACCCACATGTTCAGAGACAGTATAACTCTCCATACTGGATACTAGGGACACTTGCAGGTGGGAAATAGAATCATATTCATGTCTTGATTGTGAACAGAAGCATCTGGCTAGTCACCACTGAAAACAAAGCTGCACTAGACTTCATCTGATCTAACAAGTCTGTTAATACTCTTATATGCCCAGTGTTGTGGGTTGTTTTGGAATATTTTGAACAGGAAAACTTTCTGGTTCTATAAATTTACTGCCATTTGATCCAGTCTGTTAAAAACAAAACAAAAAAACCCCTGCAGAAATATGCCTCAATAAATATGTCCAAAAAAATATAAACTGAAATATATGATTAAGAAGCAACTTCAGTAATATACAGATGTCTCCCAACTTGCGCACAATCAGCATGTGTGCTTCTGCTAACACACGTGCCAAAAATGGCAATAAAAAGGGGCAGGGCAGAATGGGTGAATCCCCACTTGTGTGCATCCCGGAACAGAACCCCCATGTAAAGTGGGGATTCCTCTGTAGTTTAAAAGTTATATCCAAACAAAGTGCAAGTGTCATTGTGGTGAGGGAAATGATTATTTGGATATAAAATCACAACTTGATATTATACACTTCATTTTACAATGTTATCATTTTGAGAGAGAGAAAAGGGCACTGTGTTTTTATCTTGATAACCAAATGTAGGAGGAACCTCACAAAACAGTTTTTCTTTTTCCTCTTCTCACTGTAGTTCCTTACTGTAGCTAGTTGGTAGAACAGGAGACTCTTAATCTCAGGGTTGTGGGTTTGAACACCACATTGGTCAAAAGATTCCTGCATTGCAAGGAGTTGGACTAAATGACCTTCACAGTCCCTTCTAACTCTATAATTCTATGAATTAGTCTCCTGAATAGTAGCTTCAGTGAGATTGCTTTTTTCAGGCTGTGCTGGTGCCAGATAGTAGTACTACACCTGCAAAAATCGGAAAAAAATCAAGACTTTTATCACAGACACGTGTGTGTTGATGACCTTTCGCCATTATCTCAATGTTGGCTTTGATGCATTGTGAGGAAACCCAACCAGATGGACAGGGTATAAATATTAAAATTGTTATTATTATTACCATCATTATTATTAAGTACACTAAATATGTGCAATGTATTAACAATAATACATTGCTAACTTGAACATATAAATTGTATTTGATATGTGAAACTTTTTTGTAAATAATTAATAAAAATTGTACTGGAATAAGTATTACATTTTGGTCTTCATGTGTTTACCCTAATTAAACAATTTTTATATGAAACCAACTAGAATAGGAACATCTGTCTGAATGGAAGTGTTCGCTTTGATAAGTGCTGTTTTCATTCTATTTTAAATTGTGGGAAGAGAGAATACTCTCTAATATTGTGCATAACTTACTCTTGAGTCAATCATACACTATCAATGCATAAATGTTGAACAGTATCTCTTTTGTATAAAGTAAACAACAGTAGTGAATTCAACAGTAACTATATTTTTTATTTGTTTTCTTGATTGTATTCTAAAATTTCCTAGCCCATCCCCAGTGGAAATAAATAAGTTATTTCTTTTAGTACTTCTAACATTTCCCAGACATTGTCTGCTCTGTTTTTTGTTGCTTCCTATTAAAACTGTTTAGATTGCATGTTATAGTTTTATATTTTATGATTGTATCTATGGTGGGATGACCATTTTTGGTGAGAGTCTGAGGTGGGGTTGTCAAACAAACCATGGTTAGGTGAGGCTGCAGGATTTAGACATAATGACAAACCATAGTTAAAAACAAATCATGATTCATATGCCAACAACAAACCATGGCTTTGTTAGTCTAACCATAGTTAGTCTGCTGGGCATGCTTCGGATGGCTGAACAAATCACACTTTGCCTATATAGCCCATGGCTTAGTGTTATATGTGAATAGGCCTTTGAAACTAATACAGTAATCTTTTCATTTTAAAGCTAATCTTTGTCCAACACATCAAGAGTAACATTGTTTGTCTTGTCAATTTGTTCTCTCTAATGTAAATGGATTGAGAAATTGTTTTGTTTGTATTATTATTGCTACAGTTTATTAGCAGCCCTTCACCCAAAGTCCCAGGGCAGGTTACAACAATTAAAACACAGTATTAAAACAGTTTAACAGTACTTAAAATTAAAGAAATAAGGTGGATCCTTTTTTTTTTAAAGAATTTGAATTTGATCCATATTGCAATTCATATTTGCAGACGATGGAGCAAGTTATGTATAAGTGCGTGTAATGGCTGCCCATCATCCCTTTTCATAACTGGAAGCCCCACTTCAGGGACATGTATGATTGGTGAAGAGACAGGATGGGGGAAGAGTGCTTAACTATTCTTCTAACTGATACTTCTTCATGCAAATCATATGCATGCATGCACCCACACCTCAAAGTGGAACTCAAACACTTGTATTCTCATCTTTGGAGTTATTTGGCTTATGGTATTGTCGTTGCTTATGGAATTACTACCTTTTGTAATTCACCATTATCAGTTACGTGCATGAAATTAAAAAGTAATGGTTATCTGGTATGCATTGACCATTGTAAAGCATGTTGATTCCATGTGCAAAGGACTGGAAACAAGTGAGTGAATCAAAGGGAAGGAGCAGAACAGGGAATGAGGACGCAAACAAGAAGAGTAGTGAAGATTGATTACATCTGACTTATCATCCCTCCTGGTTCTCATGTAATGGCAGTGTCTCACAGAACATTCTTCCTCTGGGCACATTCAGTTACTTGGATCCTATGTGCAGAACTGCTCCTGGTGCTGTTAGTCTGCTGAAGACTAGAAGATTGCATGCAGCCAGAAAGAGGAGTGTATTGTTGGGCAACACTGTTGTTTTAGCACCAAGGGTGGGAGAAGACTATATTAGCTTTCTAGCTTATCTCCTCTTCTGACTTGCTGTCTTCTAGTCCTGTCTAGAGACAAGATATGTTGTTCTTTGCATGCAGAAAATCTGGATCATGATTACTGTTAATTATTGTTATATAACATAAAAAGTATGAGCACAGGCTATTTTTCTTTCCCATTGACATCTAGTTTTCTGAAGTCAACCTCTTCACTAATGTCTAGCCCCTTCTGCTTTGTTTTTCAGATCAGCAAAAATGGGAAGCACTGGATTCTGGTTTGCTCCTAGACATGTCAGTGGAACTGGTTAAGACCAAAATCTGAAGGTTTTTCTTCGTTATCCATCACCAGGTGTGCACTGAACAGAGGCTACCATAAATCTGTTTTGAGTATGAACACCTTTTAAAATGGTACAAAATATATAAAAGTATTGTTTTTTAACGTAGATTTTAAATGGTTTCTAATAACTGTATCATCCATCCTATAGTTGTGAAAGAACAAATATGAATAATAATATACTGAAGCTGAAAATAGGCATTGTGACTCAAAAATTTTTCAGCTGGTCTTTGAGAAGTGTAATATTTGAACATTAATGTTAAAATCCTGTCTGCATTGCTCAGCCTGTACATCCACAATTGAATTAGCTTATCTAGATAGCTAGAAATAATAAGCCAGTGAGTGGTTTAATCAGAAATTTATTCCAGGACTAGCATAACCAAATTTAAATGGCTGGGCTCCAGAGGACCATATGCAATGTTCTACATGTGCACTAGGGCTTTACTGATCCTCCCTTTCTACTGAAGCTCCTTGCGTGCATCCCTCTCCTTTCCCTCTCTCTCCTCCCAGCTGCTTCTAACGGTTAGGGCACACTCTGGAGAGAATTCAGTGAGCACAAGGTGGTGCAGTTGTAAGGGAAGATCAACTTCCCCTCCCCGGTACTCTTGGAAGTGCTTTACATGCATGCACACGCCTCTTTGGATCCTGCCTGCTGAAACTGTTTTTATATGAGGACATAGCTGCACTTAATTCATTAGCATTTGCATCATCGTAATGAATTCAGTGGTTAGATTCCAGAGCAATAAAGATCTTTCTTATTCAGCACATAGTTTCAACGCCTTAAATTAAATGTTCTTGAGGCCTTAGCTAGATGTAGTAGCAGTAGTCTTGAGCATTCAAACATGGGTCTGCAGTGCAACTCTAAAGCACAGTATATTTAAAGTGAAAGAGAGGTGGTGAAAGAGTATTGCTGAACTCATTGTCCCTAGCTTTTGTGCCCCACAATCCATTACATGTAGCTGAACTCATAGAGCAATATGAAACGTGGCTAGGGGGACTGGTTTTGGTCGCCAAAAATAAGAACAAAATCCTGTTGCTGGGGCAAGGGTTCAGCATTTCTCGTACTGGTTTTTTCTTTCAGTCATACCCCTCCTGCTGTACAGCTGGACACACCACTGCCTGTGGTCCACAATGCAGGTGATTGTGCTATATGTAGGGTCTTGAGATAGTCTCACCCATATTTTTTTTTAAGTATAGCAATTACACACACACGCACAAACATATATGGTTGAGCCTACTCACAATTTCCTGTCAGCAAAAGGCAGTAGTTCTAGTTCTTTTCCAAGGTACTTCTAAGGCCTTACAATTTGTTCAATGTCATTACTGTATTAAGAGACAAATCCTTGAAAATATTACCACTAAACCTATGTGGGTAGATAAAATTGCAGTTCACTATAGGTGTAGCTTCTTTTATAGAGCTTGAAGATGCCATAAGGCTGCGGAATTATGATGAAGCAGTAATCACCATGAGATGTTATGCTTTATTTCTAAATTCATTAAGTATTTCCATAAACACTTCTTGTATTTTATTTTTATTTTTTTGTGGTCACTTAGGTTTTGCAGTTTATTCGCTTAAGACTTTTATAGGGACACACAACTGAATTTTGGGAATGCGTGTTCTGCTTCCCAGTTCCTACTTCATCATATTTTCTTAATTAAGCATTATTGGTACCAATAAGGAAAGGTTAGAAAGATGGCAGGCAAATAATTAAATGTGCTTTATTTTTCAGTTGTAGTTTGACTTGCACTTTTTTGCTTTTGTTGCTAATTAAGGGACACAACAATTGGTCACTAGAACAGCTTCAGTTCCTTTTCACTTAGGACGTCCTCAGAGTATCAGTATCTGGCACAACAAATAAGGGTATATTATTCAATTTGTTGTGGAAGATGCATTAAAATGTACCATTTTAATCAAAAAATGTAGTCCCCCACCCCCAGATAGTGTGTCAGGTGTGAGTTTCATAGTTGCCCTTTCCTCTCTGCTGTTAAAAAGCTCTTAGAACTATTTTGGGCTTTCCCAGTGGCCTAACCATGAATATATGAGAGATCAGCAGTTCCCCAAGAACTTGAACCCTGAGGTTTGAGCCTTCTCAGGTGGGTCTTTCTCCCACTATCAGTTTTGGGCTAACTATTATTGGTATTGCAACTGCACCAACATATTCAATAGCCACTTTATATAAAATGGTCTTAACTGTGGTTATAAACTGTGGTTGATGCTAAGTGTGCTTAATGAAATTGCTGGTGCAGGCATAAAATCAATCTTAGCAACCCCTAAACATCAGAGGCTAAGGGATGCTCACTTGGGAGGACAGGGGCACCCAAATTTGCATTCTGGTCCTGACTATACAGCCATGATGAGGCTGCTGTACAATAGGGGCATTCAGATGAACACCACCACTTCCATGACTTCCAGAAAGGCTTTTCATGAAGGGCAGGTGGCTGCAAGGGAGTGGAAGGGACAGGAAACTTGCCATCTGCGAACTTCCTTATGTTAAAGTGTAGTGGTAGCCAAACCTAAAAATCTAGAATTTAACATCTGTAGATCATTGATCCCCAAATAACCAGCTGAATCCGCTACAACCAGGTTTTAGCATGTGGATAAAACACCCTGGAGATAATTATTACCACTTTTCCCAAAGGGAGGTATTTTTTTTCTTATATCATTTATCTAGTTCATTTAGAAAGAAATTGGCACAAATTATGAATAGCAAAATGATTTTATTTTTACAATGTGAAGTGCAGAAATCAATAAAACAATAAAAAACATGCTAGGCTAATCTATACATTTTGCCATTCCCTGTCCCCCAAGAAGTAGGTTTATTTTTTATCCACTGATAGATGTTTCTAAAACAATATCAGGTTTTTCAAAAGTTGATATACAGATTAAATATTTGGATGGTAACTAGGTGTTCATTAGAATACATGGTTTGTTTGAAAGCACCAAAGATTTTACGGACAATCGTTCAGTTAGGTGGAACTGGCCTAGTTTGCATATCACTGTAAGCCAAGCTGTGGCTTATTGCAACTGCATGAACATGTTGGCTCCAGAAGAGAGCCTGGCTCCTCCCCCAACCTTTTAGCACAGAGTGGTGCAACAGCTGAGTAAAGGTTTGGCTTAGTGTGTCTTCTGAACCTGGGATTTGTCCTTTGGTTACAGATCGTGGTTGAGGAGACATCATGATCTTGGGTTGGGAGCCATTCCATACTGCTAAAAGGCCTGGGGAGGAGCAAAGCAGGTGTGAGCTTCTCTCCAGGAGCCGTCACATTCACTTGGTTTCAGTAAGCCATAGTTTGCTTTACCATGACATGCAAACTACACCTCTGAGTAAATCTTATTACGGTACCTTCTATGCTTATGCTTGTCTTTCCTCATAAACCTTTAGTATCTGTCAGTTGCATATCTAGCCTCCAATCTGTTTCCTTAATAGCTTCTTTGGCCTTGCTATCTATGATGTCAGCTTAGTTTTAATATTTGAAAAACAGTACTGTTAGGAATAGAGGATTGCAGAGTGCTCATGGTTACTAAAAGCAAGGATTAGATAACTCTTGTAGATGTTGACATACTTGTGCCCATATAATTCCTGAGCACTAAATCACCACAGCTTGACTGTCAGTCAGATCCTTATGTAGCTAATATTAGGGTCTTCTACACATGATGAACAATTGCATGGTACAGACCATTCAGCACTCTGGAATGCAATTTGAGGATTTGCATGATTGAATACATCATCGTATTTTGAAGTCTCTGTGCATAAATAACTATAAGGTCAGAAGACACTGAGTTAGATTAGACATTATAGTTATCTGTTCACAGGGACTTTTCCTTGGCATTTTGTATTCCGCAGGCAATAAAATTTTTATGTAAGGCTATTCATACTTGCATTTCCCCCAAAGTTCTGTAGTAGTATAGTCATGGGAGTGCTGTATCATGCACCATTATTTTTAGTCCAGTTTACAGTGCTGCTTCAGACTAGATTCCTTTTGAATTGTGTTTTTTTTTCTTCAGTAGATGGCACTCACTTAGCAATATCACTTTGGTTTGACACAAGATGAGAAACTGATTTCTACAGAAATATAGGAACAGTTACTTTTATTTAAGGCTTAGATAAATTCTTGCAGTACTACTACATTGCCTCAAGAACCTCAAAAGAATGGCAAGATGTAGTTTCAGCACATATGTGGTTCTGTCCATCCTGAGCAGTGAATTATGAGCTGTGATAAATAGCTTAAATGAGCCTACATATATTACATTAGACCAGCTGAACCTAATTTTATATAAGCTTTATTCAAAAACATCACATAGCAAGTAAACTTCAAAATTAAGTGTAGTTACAAATAGTTGTTTCTTATTTTTTTTTCCAGTCCCCTTTTGCTTTCTTTAACGACCACATGAAACTTGAGAAGCCATCTAAAGCTAAATCATTTAGTGGAGTTGGGCAATTCCCAAGTGTCCAACAAGAAGGCCTGGTTTAGGCTGCGATGGCCACTGTCATTCCTGGTGATTTGTCAGAAGTAAGAGATACCCAGAAAGTCCCTTCAGGGAAACGTAAGCGTGGTGAATCCAAACCAAGAAAAAACTTTCCTTGCCAACTGTGTGACAAGGCCTTTAACAGTGTTGAGAAATTAAAGGTTCACTCATACTCTCACACAGGAGAGAGGCCCTACAAGTGCACACAACAAGACTGCACCAAGGCCTTTGTTTCTAAGTACAAATTACTAAGGTATTAAACTCTATTTATTTTTCAGATTATATTATCATTTGTTGGCCATTTTAAGCTTTGTAAACGTATATATCTATGTACACTTCAGCTGATTTGCAGGGAGGAAATGTTAGTTAATTTAGACATCAGATTGTAGAAGTATAAACTATAGTGCATAGTTTTACAAGCTAATATCTTTCAGTATTTGTGTGTGTTTTCAAAGAGGAGTTTAAAGCTTTTTTCAGTTGTATAAACATGTTGCAAAGAAGTGTATGAATTGAGCATTTTTGCTATGGGCATAATTGAAATATTCATATATAATGAAATATTTTATTAAAATAACTTAAACATCAAACTAAAATGTCAATTGAAATGAAATTGCTTGTAATGTGTGATTTGGTATATTTAAGTATGACATTTAATGTCTATAGTGACATGTCTTCTGCAAAATATTTTTTTGAAAAAAATAGTTTAGTATTTAGCTGCCATTAAATGAACACGTGTACTTTTTGATCAAAATAATTACTTACAGAATATATCTGTGTTTCAAGGCATATGGCTACTCATTCTCCTGAGAAAACCCACAAGTGTAATTATTGTGAGAAAATGTTTCATCGAAAAGATCACCTAAAGAATCACCTACATACACATAATCCCAATAAAGAGGCCTTTAAGTGTGAAGAATGTGGAAAGAACTACAACACGAAGCTTGGGTTTAAGCGTCACCTGGCTTTGCATGCTGCAACAAGTGGTGACCTCACCTGTAAAGTATGTTTGCAGACATTTGAAAGCACAGGGGTGTTGCTGGAGCACCTAAAAACTCATGCAGGCAAATCATCAGGTGGAGTGAAGGAGAAAAAGCACCAGTGTGAACATTGTGATCGTCGGTTTTACACCCGAAAGGATGTCCGAAGACACATGGTAGTGCACACTGGAAGAAAGGACTTCCTCTGTCAGTATTGCGCACAGAGATTTGGCCGGAAGGATCACCTAACACGGCATATGAAGAAAAGTCACAACCAAGAACTTCTGAAGGTCAAAACGGAGCCAATGGATCTACTAGACCCATTTCCTTGCAATGTTTCTGTGCCTATAAAGGACGAGTTACTTCCAGTGATGTCTTTATCTTCCAGTGAACTGACATCAAAGCCATTTACAAACACTTTGCAATTAAATCTCTACAATACTCAGATTCAGTCCATGCAGAGCTCAACATCTGCACACCAAATGGTTGCCACATCATTACCTTTAGGAATGCCTTGTCCAATAGATATGGAATCTGTCCATCCTTCTCACCAGCTCTCTCTAAAATATCCACTCAGTTCTACCTCATATACAGTTTCTATGACTGATAAAGAGCAGCCATTGAAAGGGGAAATTGAAAGTTACTTAATGGAACTGCAAAGTGGTATGCCTTCTTCATCCCAAGATTCTCAAGCATCTTCATCTAAATTAGGGTTGGATCCTCAAGTAGGGCCACTAGATGATGGATCTGGGGATGTTTCCCTTTCAAAAAGTTCAGTTTCTATTAGTGAACCTCTAAGCACCCCATCACTGGACTTCTCTCAGTTATTCAATTTTATACCTGTAAATGGACCTCCTTTTAATCCTTCTGTTTCTGTAGGAAATCTTGGAATGAGTTACACGCAAGAGGAAGCACATTCATCTATGACGCACCTTCCTCAACAGGCACAAGATCCACATGACCCTGGTAATGGTATAGGTCTTGGGTCTTTGCATTCATTATCAGCAGCTTTCACAAGCAGTTTAAACACAACCACAACCTTACCACGTTTTCATCAAGCTTTCCAATAGGGTGAAAAATTGCCTTGTGACAGGTTTATTTGTAGAAATGCCTTAGATTACTTTTATTAATGTAGTGCCTACTATGTCATTTGTAAATCTACTTTTGTACAGTACCAATCTCATTAAGCCAGTATGAAATTCAAATTAACTTTTAAAATATTTTGAATGTGTTCATTCACAGTTGTTTACTCTGTGTGTTTTTTTAAGTCTCTGTATTCTCACTGCCAATAGACCCACACTTAAAAAAGGAAAAGGAAACCATTCCCACTAAAAGTTATGTATCCCTTGTTTAAAAATTTCATTAAGATCTGATAATTCACTTTGTCAATGGAATTGTGGCTATTTTGATACTTTCAAGACTAGGAACAAAACATTACTGTTAATACAGATGTCTGTGAAAAATTCAGAATATTTTTGCCTTGTTCATGAACTAAAAATCATGATTTATAAATAAGGAAATGTGTTACTCTTGTTGAGAAAGTTTTTATGTGTAGTCTTCTTCAAAGGTCTGAAGGACCTACCACTTACGCTTAAATAACTTCACAAGAATAGAGAGGAAGAAACCTCTCACTTAAGTGCAATTATAAAGTATTATAATTTGGTAAGAAAGGTATGCCTGATTGGGAAGTTTTAAAAGAAACAAAATGTAAGAGGTGACCTTCAAATAAAAATACTGGGTGGTATTCAACTAAGTTTTTACTCAGAGTAGACTCTTTGAAATTATAGAACATGATTAAGTTAGGTCTATTAATTTCAATAGGACTATTCTGAGTCAAACATGGTTGAATACTGCTCACTGGGTATCCAATGAGTATCCTAAGCATCCAATGCTTTCTGCTCACTCACTGATGAAAGAAATCCATCAGCAGAATGGAGGAGGGAGGCATCTGTGGCAGTTTCCCTTCTCCCCTGAACTCCCCTGCACCCCCCACCATCTGTGCCAGACCCTCCGGACCAGATTTACAGCAACCATTGTGGGGCAGGGAAGCTGCACTGGAACGAGGAATTGCTAACAAGTGCCTTCTTCCAGTTCTGCTGACTAATTCCTTCAGTAAGTAAGCAGAAAGCATCAAATAAAATCCATTTTAACGTAAAGGTAAAGGTACCCCTGCCCATACGGGCCAGTCTTGACAGACTCTAGGGTTGTGTGCCCATCTCACTTAAGAGGCCGGGGGCCAGCGCTGTCCGAAGACACTTCCGGGTCACGTGGCCAGCGTGACAAAGCTGCATCTGGCAAGCCAGCGCAGCACACGGAAACGCCGTTTACCTTCCCGCCAGTAAGCGGTCCCTATTTATCTACTTGCACCCGGGGGTGCTTTCAAACTGCTAGGTTGGCAGGCGCTGGGACCGAGCAGCGGGAGCGCACCCCGCCACGGGGATTCGAACCACCGACCTTTCGATCGGCAAGCCCTAGGCGCTGAGGCTTTTACCCACAGCGCCACCCGCGTCCCTATTTTAACGTTACCTTTTCCATAATCTTTTTTAACAGTCTCATCAGAAAGATGGGGTGAAGTCGAGACAGAAAGTTTTTTATATGATGTCAATTTGATGTTTAGTTTGCAGTCAAAAAATGAATGTAAACTGGCAAATACATTTTTCCATATTATCATTGGAGTGGATCTCTTGAGTTATATTTCATAGTGTGTAATGTCACCCTAAGTAACAACGCAGATGGTAATCACACTTACCACGCCTGGGTATTTGGCTAGTGATTTTTCTCACTGCCAATAATTAATAACAGGACTCTTAGGAGTGAAGTAAAAGCATATTGCTTATGCCACTTTTACCTAATATAAAAGGGTGTTTGGGAAAACTAACAACAAAATGGCTACTCATGCTGTATGTCAAAGTGCTGTTGCTTTTCAAAATGCCCTCTTATATTCCCTACCCCAATAACCAAAAGAGGGAAAAACTGTGATATATAAGTGCAAAATATAGTTTTGCTGTAACTTGGTAACATTCTATTCCTTGGCATAATTATCTCCAATCCTTTGTGTAAATGAATACAAGGTTTTAAGTGGTTGACCTTAATATACTTCACAGAAACAAAAGTTGCTCCCATTAAGGAGCTTTGGCTCCCAATATTTGTATCATTAGTTCCTACTTTTTTATCGTAGGAACAATATGCAGGTGTGATTTTACTATTTTATACTGATGTATTTAAATTTTATTACTGAATGGTAACTTTTTATAAATGTTTATGTTCCAAAGGCATTAAAAAGGGGTGTATTAATAAGGAAAATACAGTTTCAAAATTCTGCAAGCTGCTCCAATATGCTGGGAGAAGACTTTCTCAAAGTAGACTTTAGCTCTGCTGCATGATTGCTTCCTTTAGTTTCTATGAAACAGGTTGCTTAAATACAGCTTTAGTGGAATGACTTGTTCAATATTGCTTTCCAGCCTTTTAGCACCATCATTTTAAGGGAGGGGAGAGGAACACATCAGAAGAAAATTGGAAATATTACAAACTTACTTTATGTCCAAATGACAAAGCAAATAGAAAATTGTTTAATTGTGATTATGATTAGTAGTAGTAGTAGAAAAGACGGAAATACTATCTCTTGAAAGGAGTCATGTCCTATGAGAAAAGTATACCTCCTTCCATGCTGTTCTGGTAGATGTTGAAGGAATTCAACACCTTTCAGAATCGGTACCTGAGGGACTGGCCTTCTCTGTCCCATTTTTTTCACACACTCAGTAGTTTTGTGTGTTACTGGGGAAACACCAGCAGGTGACTATTTGAAAAAGCTGTTCACCCATTTCAGAAGTGAGTTGAACTAGTTTTAACCTTTCATTTTCTAATAGAGGCTTACCACTACATTGCTTATGGTGTTTGACAGGGATGGTATGTACAAAGCATGTCACGACAATATTATCTGTTTTCAGTGTTAGTTGCTGGTTAACTTGGTTTTTTTTAAAAAAAAATAAAAAACTAGTTTTTCCAGTACTCCTTAATACATATGAAGGCTCCATGTTGTTACGGCAGTTCCCTCAGGTTGTAAGATGGTTTTAATTAGAGACACAGGTGCACTTCAAATTATAGTAGTAGGGACCTCTGACAAGATATTGAACCTCATTCAGTTAGTACTTCAGCAGATGGCTACACCTTGTGTTTCTGTCACTGAAGTAAGGTGTGGGAGTATATGGAAGCAGAATGACAGCGTAGGCAATATTTACACATTAGTGCTTTATGACTATCATTTAGGCAAAGTCATTATTGGCAACTTAAAACTGTCAATGTTAAAGCCTATTTTGTAGTTACCAGGTTAATTCTTAAGAGTGGAGTGTGGTGTGTGCTGGCTGATCATGCACCACACTGTGCAACTTCTAAACTTCTGCTATGGATTTTAAAAAATATTATATATATAATTTGCTTGTGTTTATTAGTAGTGAATTGTGGAATAGAGTGATTTATTCATTTGGCAGTAGAGGTTTTCAAAAACCATATACTGACTAAAAACATGAGCCAGACCTGATTGCTTTATTAAGCTAATAATGAATGTTAAGAGTACATATTTTCAGGATTTTTGCCTAGTGAGCTCTATGTATTGTAGGCTGTTTTTGTTGTTTTTTAACTAAAGCTCGATCAACTTCTGTGTTACACATAATACAAGATATAGCACTTTCAAAAAGAAAACCTAAATCTTATAAAAGAGAATTTCTTACAGGTTATGCTTTCTATTATTAAAAAAAACTTTTATTATAATTTTTCAAGTGCCATTAGATGACATACGTGGGCCTTTTGGTATAATGCTTTGGGTACAGAATGGTAAACATTGTAACTTTTAACAGGTACATCTTAAAAGTGTTTTTGTATCAATTTGCTATATTGCACAAAACCAGTGTGTCTTTTTAAAGGGTTTTACAGTGGATTCCTAGGTTTACATGTTTCTACTGCAGTCTTCTACTGCCATTTCATACCAGTCCAAAAATTGAATATTCAACAATAGTTAAGTGCATACTCTGAAATCTTAGAGGTTGCAGTCATGTGCCCACTAATACTAAGTAAGTCCCATACATTTCAGTGGGAATTACATGTGTGAAATTAGGCACAGGAGCACAGCCTTAATAGCTCAATCCTATGTGTATTTTACTCGGAAGACCCACTGAATTCAATGGAATTTACTTCCAAGTAAGTGCGTGTAGGATTGTAACCTTCAGAAGATTTAAGATGCAGTATTGGAAAGATATGTCCTACCATAGCTATGCTGCTGCTGGAATTCAACATAGGGTTGATCCTGTGCCTTTTAGTATAAAGAGAAGACTTAAGCTCTTAATTATTTGTCTCATACACTGGTTTAGCAGCTTAAAATAACGTGCCTCTTAGTAATAAAGTCTATACATTGTTTGCTATGAAGTATGCCATGTAGGTTCAGCTGCCTATCTGCATTCTGTCATATTACAATGAAAACAGCCACTTATTTGATACTATAGAGGAAGACAATTTAAAGTGATGTCACAGTAATAAAAAAAGAGTGTTTATAGTCCCCTAACTGTTAAAGGGGTGGTCATGTGCTGGAAGGCCATGGTTTTTTTTGTAAGTATTTAACCCTAAAATTGACACAGAACTATTGCTAACTGCATGCAAACACTTTTCAGTATAAGCTTCAGTGGTACAGTTGAACCAGAATGAATGTTTATTTTCTCAGAAACACTCATGCAAATATATTATAGTGGATCATGCTGCTAATATAACTTGGGATACAACTCCTCTCATGGTGCTACAGACCTCCCTGTCTCATTCAGACTGATGTATTTTTATCCATAGAGAAAGGCCTATACTAGATTTATAGATGTATGATATATTTTTATACTGTGACTTAATTTGTCATTAATGAATTTTGTACACCACCATGTATTCATATGCACTTGCAAAAGGAGAAACTTGGACATGTAAATTTGTACCCAAATGAACCTATTCTCAAAACTAGAAGATGATAGATGAAATGGGGGGGCTTTTGATATGGTGTGAAGTGAAGAACATACTTGTTTTTAAGAGCCCTTTGAATATTAACAAACTGGGGGGAAATATAAAAAGAATGACACCTGAACCTGACTTGGATTGCTGAAACTTATATTTTTAGATAGTGAGAAATGTTTGGACTTGTGTGCTAAAATGTTTAATGATACAGATTTTGAGTCAAAATAGAAAAATGCATTCCAGACTGAATTTGTGTATTTCATTTAAAATTACTATCCTGTGATATGGGAAATTGAGTTGCTTATCATGTATATGTACTTTAAAATGTATTCACAAACTACTGTTGTATTTGTATAAAATATAGACAAAAGATTGCATATATATTTTTGTGTATAAGCTCTGTAAAATAGCTATCACATTATGAAGCTGCAGCAAAAATTCATTTTAGACATTCATATCCAAAGAAACAGACTATTTATTGTCCACATACCCTGATAAAAATATAACTTGCTGCTATTAAACAATAGTGCTGCAGCTTCTTG